TCTTGTGTCCAGTACCGAAGCAAAACATGCCCCATTTGCCTAATTTTTCGACAATATACCCGGATCCTAAGGCAAAAACAGCGACATCAATAAATAGTCATCACCTAAACCGCCATCCTCCAGACTGCCTCATCCACACATCCATTTCCTCAAATCTCTTCAACTGAATTCGTTTACAGTCTTGCTTATACTCCCAACCTAACTTTTTAAAGCAAATGCGCTCTTCCATAACATACCAATCACATTTGTTTTGCGTATTTCGTGATGTGATAGTGAAGTTCACTCCAGCATATAGACTAAAATATAGACAAAGAACTGTGAATGAAAGTTGCTATTATATGCTTAGGGTGCCGTCAGTAGCCACCACCACCAAAAAAGCATATGGTGTATTTTGGCAACTTCATTGTCCGGTTTACCCTCACAATACTATCCGGATATCAAAATACCTCTCGGTTAACCGGTTATTCAGATAATCCAACCCTAGTCACATCCGCCAATCTCATTTGTCGCAGTTCCTTTAATTTACGCAGACTAGTGCAATCATATGCTGGTAAGTAGTCTACCAAATAAATGTCTCACCAAGTAAATTACGATGTAGCATGGGCCAGATAAATTCCTCACTGCGACACCTTTTATTATGAAGCATATTAGATGTACATATTTTCGAAAAATCTTTAAAATATCGTACGTGGACGCAATGGGAAGGGTTCTGGCTTTCAGTTAACTCATGCAAATATCATGTACATCACCTCACCCGGATTCCGTTTTTTTTTAAACTATTGTAGGCAGCTCTTTACTTAGCAATGTGTTTGGGGCAAGCTTGCTGTTAGGGGGAAACGTTCTGTCTTTATAATATAGTGGGTATAATACATTTATCATTGTGTTTGAATTTGCAGAAGCAATGGGTGGCACCTCCCTGTAGAGATATATCAGAAATACTCTTTAATACATCAAAACAAAAGGAAAAGTATTGTTAATAGTGGACATGGCTGAATTTGCATTTTATCGTGCAATTTATCTAATTAACTAATTTTTCCCTGTTCAACAGGTTACCACCTGGAACTCTAACTACGAACTTACAACCGAAGACAACATCACATACACTTTGATCGGATTTCAAGCTCCCATTGGAAATGACTTCAATACCTAGGTTAGTGTTTACAGTATTCATTTAATGCGATAAAGTATAGAATTAGTAGAGTTACAAATATAGACAAAATATTTCCAAAATATCTTTAAACACAACACCCGATTGCCCGAAACTTGATTTGTTTTGGGAATCCTAGTTTTTCACATTACCTAATTGTCATTCTAGGTTTCATTCCACCTTGTCTACGACATGGAAGATGGAGTCGATAGATGATTTTCCGCTGGTGACATCACCGTCTGAATCACAAAAGCAGCCGACAGTGAAGTTATCATTGTCTAAAACATTCATCGATCTCGTTCGTTGATACGTTTATTTCATTCCGAAACTTGTCAATTAGATATATATGTACGTTGAATTTTCTGATCCTATTCTCTGAAACAGTTGAATAATTTGGACAATCAAAATTAAATATAATACAATTAGACAATTTGGACAATCGAATATAAATATAATATAGGTATTTCAATAACTGAAATTTTGAAACATAAATTCACTTTGAAACACCAAACTTTTGATCATATGATCACGGTGAATGCGCGTGAAAATAATATTTGCTGAATTTTTGAACTTACTTTGAAAATTTTCTTTGAATGGTTGAAATACCATGACAAGATTTATTTCGTCGGTATATTTTATGTAATTTTTTGTAGAATTTGTAAGCTTACGTTTGATATTTTTATACCAATGATGAACTATTTTTATACTCAATTTGTATATATAAATTTGAAGTAAAAATGAACTAGCATATTATGCTTGATAAAATGTTTTATCTCATTGCATTTGTGTAATATTACATTATCAATATTTTCAATTTATGAATACGACGCTGTGTTAAACATTACGAATTGTTGACAATAAAGATCTGATTATTACAAAAAATGTCTGACTTCAATTCAAGTTGAAAATTCTAGTAATTGACGTATTTTTGTATATAAACTAGAGCAAGGAGTTACGGGCCAATGCTTAAGAGGATCCTGCCGTAGATAACATGGTCTATCTTTTGGATTAATCCTAACAGCTATCCGATTGAACTTTACAAATAATGCATTTGTACAGTAGCTTATGATGATTGCAGAAAAAACGCATTGCAATAATACTATACAAGAGAGCAAAGCTTAAATACATAGACGCAAAGTTCGCTACGAATTTGATGAAGAAGAACGGCGAACAAACGATACCGAGTCGTCCGAGCAATACGAAATAAATCTATTCCCCTTATCGAGCGACTTTGGGTAATCATTTGGGTAATCATTTGAAACCCATTAGTCCTGCAATGGCGGAGAAAGAAACAATTTTTTCCAACAACAATATTAAATCCAATAAGAATAATAAACAAACGAATTCAGGTCTAACTCCTTGTCAAACTAAACAATAAATCAAATAAATAAAACACTTGCGGGATGGCGGCTGAACACACTAGTCTATAGCTTTATATAAATATAATGATAGGGGGTTTTGCCTTTTAATAACAAAATCCAAGGTCGCGTATTTTGTGATGTGATAGTGAAATTCACTCCGGCATTTTTCAAATGACTAAAATATAGAAAAAGAAGTGTAAATAAGATTTGTAATTATATGCTGTCAGTAGCAACCACCAACTGAAAAAATATCAAAATCTTTAATGAGCATAAAACCGCTCACAGTACTATCCAGATATCAGATGGCAAAACACCTATCGGGTAACCGATTATTCGGATAATCCAACCCTAGTCACATCCGCCAGTCTCATTTGTCGAAGTTCCTTTACTAATGCTATCATATGCTGGTGGGTAGATTACAAATTCAATGTCTCACTAAGTAAATTACGATGTCGCATGGGCCAGATAAATTCCTCACTAGTGCACATTTTACCATGAAGCATATTGGATGTACATATTTTCGAAAACTCTTTAAAATATCATGTACATCACCTCACCCGGATTCCAGTTTTTCAAAACTATGGTATATATATATAGTTAGCTTTTTACTTAGCAGTGAGGCTTGTTTGGGGCAATCGTGCTGCAAGCTTGCTGATATGAGGAATCTTTCTGCTTTTATAATATAGTGGGTATAATACAATTGTCATTGTGTTCAAATTTGCAGAAGCATTTTGTTGCATCTGCATGTATATATATATATATATATATCAGAAGTTCTCTTAAATACACGTAAGTATTGTTACTCGCGCTCCGATTTTTACCAAATAACTTTGGTGATAAATTAAATATTTTACCACACAACTTTGCAAGTATTGGATAATCTTCCTGTACGCCAATCATGTTTAAAGGTAAGGTATTTATTTTATTTATTGCGTCAGTTTTTTTTCATCTCGTGAAAGAAAGAATGACCTTGGAATTTGTTTTTAAAAGGAAACCATTATATTATCCCCAACAATTATATTATTCGAAGTTAGACCAGTATGTCCAGCCGCCATCCCGCAAAGGTTTCAGATATATGTTTTATTTAGGGATGGGCCGGGATTCGGATCCGGACTCGGATTCGAATCGAATCCACACATTTTTTGGACTCTGATTCGACTCCGAGTCCACGTCATTTTTACCGAGTCTAAAATCAATTCTGTTTTTACTAATTTACGCCTATATTTGTACTTTTGCCTCCATAAATCTCACTACATACCTTAACGAGTTAAAATTCAAGGTTAAATCTGTAACAATATCCCTCACGTGTACTATAAACACTCCTAATAAAAGCGACAACAGATATCCAGATAATTTAACGCATGTTAAAAACTATTGATCGCTTATAACAATGATGTTGCGCCAGTCGCTTTCAAACTATCTATCCTTTTTGATACACAATAAAATATGTGTTAGCTCAATATTTTTGAGTTTTTGATTCGCGTAAAAATGAAGCATGCTCTGGATCAACTCAATGGGGAATCTCATCGATACCTCTTTTAAATCGAGTTTATTACGTGCAATTCTTTCTATAAAAAGGGAGCAATGGAAAGCATGGAGCGTTTTAGAACGTTTACAATTTTACATGAACTACTAAATTGCAATCATTGTATTGACGACGAGTGGCATCTCTCTACCATTTGCGCACGCCACATAGTAAATTTAAGGCTAGAAATATCTGGAATTATGGGGAAGCATTGTAGTCAAAAGCTTTTTATTTTTCATATTGATATGTGAGAATTTTGAACTAGCCGTCCAGATATGACGCAAGGTGGTGGGCTGAAAATTGACCCACGTTTACGTTTGTATTATGGTCGCCAAAAAAAAAGAAAAAAATATCTTTTTAAATTGATCCAACAGCTATCTGCGGAACCATTAGGCAAAAAAATATAAGCTGCAACGTATGTTTGTGAGCGCCCGATGCTGTAATATGGTCAAAAACGTGTTTTCTACTTTTACATTATGACGTCACGTACTTTTTAATTCGTCTGTTGTTATTCTTGTTGTGGTTAATATTGTTGTTGGCAAAAATTGTGTCTTTCTCCGCCATTGTAGGACTAATTGATTTCAAATATTCAAAGACGGAAGAAGTCGCTCGATAAGGAGAATAGTTTTTATTTCGTATTGCTCGGACGACTCGGTATCGTTTGTTCGCCGTTTTTTTTTTATCAAATTCGGTGCGAACTGTGTGCCTATGCATTTAAGCTTTATTCTCTTGTATAGTATTATTACACTGCTTTTTTCTGCAATCATCATAAGTTATTTAAACTGTAAATGTACAAATGCATTATTTGCAAACATCAATCGGATAGCTGTTAGGCTTTATCCTAAGGATAGACCATGTTATATACGCAGGGCCCCCTTAAGCACTGGCCTGTAACTTTATCAAGGGTATAGTTCTTAAAGAAAATGCGTCAATTACTAGATTTTCCACCTTGAATTGAAGTCAGACATTTTTCGTAAAAATCAGATATTTATTGTCAAATGCTAGTTCCGTTTTACTTCACATTTATATCGTATCAAATTGAGTATAAAAATAGTTCATCATTGGTATAAAAATATCAAAAGTAAGCTTACAAATTCTACAACAAATTACATGAATATACCGACGAAATAAATCTTGTCATGGTATTTCAACAATTCAAAGAAAATTTTCAAAGTAAGTACAAAAATTCAGCAAATAATATTTTCACTCGCATTCACCATGTTCATATGATGAATTAAAATCAAGTTCGGTGTTTCAAAGTGAATTTATGTTTCAAAATTTCAGTTATTGAAACACCTAGTATTACATTTAAATTTGATTGTCCAAAATATGCAACTGTTTCAGAGAATAGGATCAGAAAATATCTAAATGACAAGTTCCGGAATGGGATAAACGTATCAATGGAAGAGATGTATGAAGTTTTAGACAATGATAACTTCACTGTCGGCTGCTTTTGTGATTGAGACGGTGATGTCACCAGCGGAAAACCATCTATCGACTCCATCTTCCATGTCGTAGACAAGGTGGAATGAAACCTGGAATGACAATTAGGTAACGTGAATTACTAGGATTTCGAAAACACATCACGTTTTGGGTGTTGTGTTTAAAGATACTTTGGAAGTGTTTCGTCTTATATTTGTAACTCTACCCATTCTAGACTTTATCTCATCGAATGAATACTGTAAACACTAACCTCTGTATTAAAATCATTTCCGATTGGAGCTTGAAATCCGGTCAAAGTGTATGTGATGTTGTCTTCAGTTGTAAGTTCGTAGTTGGAGTTCCAGGTGGTTACCTGTTGAACGGAAAAATATAATTAGTATATTGAATAAATTGCTCGATAAACTGCAAATTGAGCTGAATCCACAATTTTATTTTGAACAAATAAACTGCAACTCACATTGAATTCTCTGACTCGGACTGGGAAAGTGATTGTCAAAACATCTCCGACGTGGAAAGCTCTTCTGTAGCAAATTGTTGAGCTAGCTTCTCCCATCAAGTTGTTTTGAGGGAAAGAGTAAACGTTGACTAGGAAAATGATGGGACAGTATTAATATTACACAAATCCTGATAAGACCATGGCAATATATTTATCTCCAAATATTCTCTACATTTTATCGCAAATTTACGGACAAACTTACTGTCAGTTATTGCAAGAGGATCACAAGCAAATACAATGTCTTCCAGAGCAAAAGCTGATCCACGGTCAAACAAGATGAGAACTTTGAATGTGCCGTTGACTAAACTCCAGTGGGTTGGTGCACTGATCGTGTAAAGACCTTCAACGGGGCTGCTGCTCTCAGGGACGATAAATCCATTCACAACCTGAAGCGAAAGACGTTTAAATATTGCGTACTTGGAACTAGATGAAGTTCTGAAATTTCTCTAACTATATTTATATACAAATTTCAATCTAAATAATTTCATTTAATACTCAAATATTACTCACGTGAAAAAGGTTGACCATAGACGGGAGTGAAACTTGACACGATCCATTGCCGACTTCTTCATAGACAAAATCCACGATTGCTCCCCCAAGTGTGTGGTCATTTTCAGGCCATGTGAGGGCATTCTCGTCTATAAAAAAATTCAGTTAGGAATATTCACTCAGTTCTATTTTACGCATTTTAATAGCGTCGATAGAGGAAAGATAGTTATGCACAATGTTCGACAAAATACTCACGTCTTACGATTTGTCCATTGACAATTCCAGCGAATACGATTGCGATAAAGATGGCGAACTTCATTTTTTATTCTTTTCTGAATAGAAAACAAGAAATAATCAATAAAACGAATCTCTACAGACAAGAATATTCCGATGTCTTTACTTATTCAAAGCTACTTCAGACTCTTTCGCACCATGACTATATGCAATAGGCGAGTGAAATGGTAGAAGTATGTAAAATGGTAAAAGTGTTTTCCTAAAATACTAGAAGCTATACATTACCTTTTCTGTTCGAAAATTGAATTCCAATGTAGAGATGGGATCGGCTGCTTGCTCTGTCTTCTAGTTGTGCACTTGAAAACTGATGACTTCGGAGTGTAAGCATGGGGTATTTATACTGGTCGAAATTTACAACCTTGGAATTCTGCATGAGCGGTGTGGACTCCTATCTATACCAAGCATAAATATAATTTTAGAGATGTTTACAGTTTGTTTTGATGATTTTATGAGTTGATTGCGACGGGTGTGTTTTTAAGAGTGCCAGTAAACCGCAGTAAACTTCTTTCGCGGTTGATGGATAAACAGGAGATAATAAAACGTATATCATAATATGGAGTTTCATTTAGTATTGACCTGTATGTTTATTTCTCAGTGTAATCCTAACCGTACAGTTTTTGTCTTAGTAGTAGTTGTCAAGTGTGTCCATACAACAAAAACAAATATTACCTTAATCACTGAATAATAAAAAAATGCAATATTCTCATTCTTGTTTCGTGTATAAACAACACTACTCATGGATATGATCGTTTTAAATTTACTTTCTTTGATGTTATGTTCGTGATTATACAAAGCTACAATATTCATACTTTTACTTGCAGGAAATACACGGTCGTTCAAAATATCACGTGTTTCAAAGTCATACTCGGAGTTCTTATTGAGCGCTCAACTTCTTTGTCGCCTCTACACATAATACACCTTTCATCGCTTGAAATTAGGCTACTTTTCAACAATTTGTACAGTTGGTACATATATAGATAACAAGCGCAAGTCTATCAATATTAAAATATACAGACACCCTAACGTAAAATTGTCTCAAGTCAATCGTGTATTAACGCTTTTATCATATATCCTAGATATTTTACCATTCAGTATAAATTTGTCTGAAATTTATTGTAGAAATTAATCTTGATCGTAAATGAGAAGCAGACACAAGCATCGCCGTTCGTATGTGTTATGTTGCATATGTTTTCGGAATTGGGTTCGTGCAATCAACGATAAAAAACCGTTCGAAGATAAAAAAAAAATCGTACGTTGAAGTACTTCACAACACTTTCAAACGAGAATATCGGTCAGAGACCGAAGACTTATCGATCGAAAGTTAGGGGATCCCCCAAAATAACGCTCTTACTCCATAGTGACACCTTGTTTCTCATCACTAACTAATTAATAACTCGCTAATTATACGACATATTTTATTCAAAATCAATAGGCTTCTGGTACGACATATAATGAATGCACATGCAAAATCGTGGGCAGATTCAATCTCGCTTTCGTGATTTATCGCGTGCATCTAACAGACAAACAGACAAATACCTATCAACATACTTACCGATTAAAATCGATAAGTAATAAGTTGAAATATGAAAAAGATCCGATTATGTTAAGTTATTTTTTCTAGACAAATTTGCCCGTATATGAACGAGACAAATTCGATAATAGTTTTCAATCAAGTCCTCGTTACCCGAGCAGCTCGTTCGAAGCCAGTTTTAAGATGCTGACTCCACAAATGGCTAAACTTCTATGGGGGTACAAAGTCGTCCATGTTATAGGTAGTTGGATACGGTGTAAAGTACCAAACACTGTTAGCAATAATCTTTGGGATGGCAACTCATTCTGTGTAGATTAGCACTCATTGACCGTTTTGCAGCCGTAATAAAAAGACTTGATATTTAGGAGATGCAGAATTTTGTGTTCATAACGAGACTTCGTGGTGTGGTATATTTCTTTCTTTGATAAATTTCATGGTTTGTTACTATTCATTACTCCATATTTCACGAACCAATGTCACGGTTGAACGCCTCCGTCACGCTTGTCCGCCGATCGTTTCAGCAAAGTCGGTACTCGCTACTCGGTCCCATCTAGTTTGGCTAGTTTTGATATCTATAATTTTTACTAACGGATATATTCGTATATTTCGTATTTTCACTAGTTACTGCTTATTGTTAGAAAATCAATTTCACAAGATTTTTGTGGTGAATTGTAGTTTTATTGTAAATTGTACAATAAACTACCGAAATTATAGAATGGTGCAAAGATTAGAAGTAATCCGGGACACAAGTTAGTTTAACGCTTGAAATGAGTCATCGAGATTAAAACTAGCTTTTTTCAACCTAGAATAGGTTTTACATTCTGATCCCGGGAGAGTAGAAAACCGATAAGATGGCTTAATCATATGACGAACCACGGCCTCTCGTCCGGTTACCACTCCATGCCGGGTCTGGAATTAGTTAGCCAGTTACTTATTTCCAGGTACGTGAACAGCGGTTACGTGAACCACCCTACGGCGGCGAAGAGTGCACATAAGTATCCCCGCATGGGATTCGAACCTGCGCACCCACGCAGGGTAATCATAGTTGTGGTGGCGAACGTATTCCTAACGCCCAGCCTTAGCACGATGCGCTACACCGTCGAGCATAAGAAGGCGTTCATTCAATATACCGCAAAAACTAAATGCCGCGTCAGGTCAAAAGACAACAAGCTCAGCAGCGCTTCCCACAGTGTAGGCCTAAGTTATATGTACGTGAAAGCGCAATGCACCAGATGAGAAGAAAAATCAATACGTACCACCCAACCTCGCCAGACCACAAACAAATTCTAAATGTACAAAAACGAGGCAATGTTACATCATTGTTGTTGATTTGTTATGGTTATGGAAATAAACAAGGTAATTGATGCCCGGGAAAATATGCATAAAGGCCGTACAGCGAATACATACAGTATGGAAGATAAAGCGTTGTCGGCATATTTCAGCGAACTCAAAGGTTTAATTGTTGCAATATTTCAAAACTGCTCGCGTACCACCTGAACATGTTCCGCGTACCACTAGTGGTACGCGTACCACAGGTTGAGAACCACTGCTGTACGCCAATCATTTTTAAAGGTAAGGTATTTATTTTGTATATTAGAGCAGTAGAGATTTGAGGAGGTGGATGTGTAGATGAGGCAGTCTGGAGGATGGCGGTTTAGGTGATGGCTGGTAATTGATGTCACTGTTTTTGCCTTAGGATTCGGGTATATTGTCGGAAAATTAGGCAAATGGGGGCATGTTTTGGTTCGGTACTGGACACAACACCAATACTGCACAATTGACGCCACGTATGCTATGTACGAGGTGCGGCTAAAAAGAAACGGGACTGACGTCACAGATTGCGCAACACGATTAACCAACGGTGATCAACACTTTTGCAGTGTGGCGTAATATGTGTTCTTTGTTTAACAGCTGTTTTGACACAATATCGCAATTATTTTTGCTTTTCAGGATTCATAAGTGAATGTGATAAATTTCTTGTTGAAAAAAAAATGCTGTGCGAGGTCTGATGGAGTTTTTTGGTGATAGGGGGTTCAATTAAAGAATGACGACTAAGCAAAGAATTAACATTAAATTTTGTGTCAAACTTGGAAAAATGGCGACTGAGACTTTGCAGATGTTGCGTGATGTTTATGGAGATTCTTCCATGTCCAGAACAAGAGTTTTTGAATGGCACAAGCGATTTGTGGAAGGCAGGGAGGATGATCCGAGGTCAGGGAGGCCTTGCACTTCCACTACTGATATCAACATCGAAAAGGTTTGGCAGTTGGTTCGCAGTGACCGTCGCTTAACAATTCGCGTCATTGCCAACGAAATTGGGATTGACAAAGAAACGGTCCGCACCATTTTGGTTGACACTTTGGGAATGCGAAAGGTGTGTGCCAAAATGATGCCAAAGGCTCTTGAGTTGACTGAGGAGCAGAAAGCTCAACGATTGAATGCATGCCGAGTTGACATGCATTTTTCCCAGTTCGACACAAAATTTAATGTTAATTCTTTGCTCAATCGTCATTCTGCAATTGAACCTCCTATCGCCAAAAAAACTCAATCAGACCTCGCACAGCATTTTTTTTTCAACAAGAAATTTATCACATTCACTTATGGATCCTAAAAAGCAAAAATAATTGCGATATTGTGTCAAAACAGCTGTTAAACAAAGAACACATATTACGCCACACTGCAAAAGTGTTGATTACCGATGGTTAATCGTGTTGCGCAATCTGTGACGTCAGTCCCGTTTCTTTTTAGCCGCACCTCGTATCATCGGGCCTTGCTGTTGGTGGATTGGCATTTGTTTGTGGTCTGGTGCGGCTGGGTGGTACATTTTGATTTTGCTTCTCATCTGGTGCATTGCGCTTTTACGTACATATAACTTAAGCCTACACTGTGGGAAGTGCTGCTGATCTTGTTGCTTTTTTATCTGATGCGGCATTTAGTTTTTGCAGTATATTGAAGGAACGCCTTCTTATGCTCAGCGGTGAAGTGCATCGTGCTAAGCGTTGGGAATAGGCTCGCCACCACAACTCCGATTACCCTGCGTGGGTTCGCAGATTCGAATCTCATGCGGGGACACTTATGTGCAATTCTCGCCGCCGTAGGGTGGTTCATGTACTCGCTGGTTGGTTATGGCTTTCTTCACCGTCAGGTCCATGCCCCTGGAAACAATAAACTGGCTAACTAACCCCATACCCGACATGGATTGTAACCAGACGAGAGGTCGTGGTTCGTCATATGATTAAGCCATCTTATCGGCTTTCTTTTCTCCCGAGACCTGGTGTTAAGTGGAAAAAAAAAGTGTTAATTCTGAGGACTGATTTCAAGCGTTGAAATAAGCTAAGTCTCGGATTACTTGTAATCTGTGCACCATTCTACATTTTTGGTAGTTTATTGTACAATTTACAATAAAACTACAATTTACCACAAAAATCTTGTGAAATTGATTTTCTAACAGTAAGCAGTATCTAGTGGAAATACGAAATATTCGGATATATCCGTTATCCGGATAGTGAAAATTATAGATATCCAAACTAGATGTGACTAAGTAACAAAGATGAGCGGAGTCAGAATATTCAGACTCCGACCTGGTCCGAAATCAAAATTCAAATTCGGAGTCCGACTCCGAACAAGGAAAACTATTTCGCTTCTGTTGACAAATCTAATTTTGACATATTTTAGTGTTCACTACATCAGCAACATCAAAAACGTGCTGCGCTGACGTATTTTGTGTTCATTAGACACACATCTGATCACTTAAAAATATGTATT